TTTAGAACCAAAGGATTGTAAAACAGATATATAGGTTTGGGATTAAATATTGTAAAAGTATATTCCTGATACATGCACTTCTTGAGAGAGACGGAGCTCTTCTTATTCATCTATGTAACTACCTGTGCGTACCTTGGTATTGAACACATCATAGGTATTCAGTTTTGTTCTGGGTTGAATGATGTATGTGGGGGAGTCACATTTTATAATTTTATATCGAGCAGTACAAAGAAAAATGCTTTTACCTTGTCCTGCACTGGCAGTAAAAGCCTTTAATAGGTCCAGGGAAATTATCCTTGTGCATTGACCAGAAAGCGGACTAAATGAGGTGCCGCTGGCCACACAGGGGCTGCAGAGCCTGTCCCCAGGGCACAGCCCACCCTGAACAGAGCCCTCCTTCTCGGCATCAAGTCATATCTCACATCACCAGGGTGCTGATGTTATTAATAGTATCTGTTTGGTATTCTAAAGGATTGTGAAGTGGTTTGGTATCAACAAGGGGAGTTCTTTCATTCAAATGAAAAGCAGCACTAGTTTTTCTCATCGATCAGAGGAGGACCGGTTGGTCGATGAGGAGTTTGTAGGCCAACAAACTATCAGAAGAGACATTATTTTCAAGAGCCTGTTTGTCGTGATGAAGCGTCACCTACTCCAGCTACAGATTTACCAGGAGAGTACAAATAGCGACGCCTGGTCTTCAATTTAGAACACGAAAGAGAATAAGATACTTATGTTGGCCAATGGGACAGTATGGGGGAGTGACATGTAAGCGCTGATACATTGCTTAACGTCTCACATCGCCTGTAAATTGAATTTTTGAAAGCAGACATGTTTGCCCTTTTCAAAGGAAACTAAAATGTGTCATCTGTAATAGGCCATAGTCAGAAAACATATGACATAACAGGGGGATTTCCCCATGCTAATTTTCTGGATTAAATGGGAATCCTAAAAAATTGAGACAAGTATGTAAATAGGTCCTATGTGTTGTTGCCGAAGCGATGAGGCCATTAACATTTCCCTTCTCTCCAAAAGTTCAAAAAAAGACTTTGCAACACGCTAGGATGATTTGAGCATTTGATTCAAACTGTTATAGAAAGCTGCTTGAGAAGACAGCTCTCTCACGTCTTTCTGCCAAGATTACGCAGTTCCAAGAACCTGTTCTTTTCAATGCCAAGGTGTTGTTTTCTCTTTTTAAGATTTTTATTAAAATCCAGCTAATGTAAGTACAAAATTATATTAGTTTCAGGTGTACATCACAGTTATTCAGCAGTATCCACCCGGCACTATACATAGTTATTCCCTCATTATTGATTATATTCCCTATGCTAAAGAAGTGATCACCATGATAAGTCCAACAACCATCTGACACTGTACCTGCTATAACAATATTATTGACTGTATTTCCTATGCTATATGTTATATCCCCATGACTTATTTGTTTTATACCTGGGACTTTGAACCTCTTATTCCCCTTTATCTTTCCCCCCCTTTTTTAAATTTTCAATTACAGTTGATATTCAATATTATGTTATATTAATTTCAGGCATGCAGTATAGTGGTTAGATAGACATTTATATAATTTACGAAGTGGTCCTGCTGACTAGTACCTACCAGGAACTGTACATAGTTATTACCATATTATTGATTATATTCCCTATGCTTTACTTTACATCCCCATGACTATTTTATAACTGCCAATTTGTATTTCTTAATCCCTTCACCTTTTTCACCTGCCCCCATCCCCCTCCCATCTGGCAACCATCAAAATGTTCTCTGTCTCTGTGAGTTTGTTTCTGTTTTGTTCATTTGTTTATTTTGTTCTTTAGATTGCACTTGTAAGTGAAATTATATGACATTTGTCTTTTACTACCTGACTTACTATACTCAGCACAATACCCTCTAGGTCCATCCATGTTGTCGCAAATGGTAAGATTTCATTCTTATTTATGGCTGAGTAATATTCCAGTGTATATATGTACCACTTCTTCTTTATCCATTCATCCATTCAGGGACACACAAGGCTGTCTCCACATCTTGTCCATTGTAAACAATGCTGCAATGAACTTATGGATGCACAGATCCCTCAAAGTAGCATTTTGGGTTTTTAGATAAATACCCAGAAGTGGGTTTACTGGGTCCTTCTTTGTCTATTGTTATAGCCATTGTTTTAAAGTCTATTTTGTCTGGTATAAGTATTGGTACCCTAACTTTTTTGTTTGTTTGTTTCCATTTTCATGAAATATCTTTTTCCTATCCCTTTACTTTCAGCCTGTGTGTGTGTCTTTCGATCTGATGGAAGTCTCTTATAGGCAGCATATGTAAGTGATGTTTTCTTATCCATTCAGACCCCTATCTTTAGATTGGAGCATTTAATCTGTTTACATTGAAAGTAATTGTTGATAGGTATATAGTTATTGTCATTTTATTATTCATATTTTTGATTTTTTTCATCCTAAACAAGTCCCTCTAAGATTCCTTGTAATACTGGTTTGCTGGTGAGGAACTCCTTTAGCCTTTTCTTGTCTGGGAAGCTCTTTATTTGTCCTTGGATTCTAAATGATAGCTTTGTTGGGTACAGTAATCTTGTTGTAGGTCTTTGCTTTTCATCACTTTGAATATTTCCTGCTAATCCCTTCTGGAATGCAGTTTCTGTTGAGAAGTCAGCTTACAGTCTTATGGAAGCTCCCTTATAGGTAACTCCGTTTCTCTTGCTGCTTTTAAGATTCTCTTTGTCCTTAACCTTTGGCATTTTAATTATGATGTGTCTTGGTGTGAGCCTGTTTGGGTTCATCTTATTTGGGACTCTCTGCACTTTCTGAGCTTGTATATCTACTTCCTTTTTCAGGTTAGGGAAATTTTCCATCATTATTTCTTCAAATAGGTTTTCAATTCCTTGCTCCCTCTCTTCTCCTTCTGGTACATCTATAATGCAAGTATTGGTATGCTTGATGTTGTCCCAGAGGCCCCTTAAACTCTCTTCAGTTTTTTGGATTCTTTTTTCTTTTTGCTGGTCTGATTGGGTGTTTTCTGCTACCTTATCTTCTAAACCACTAATTCAATCCTCTGCTTCATCTAATCTACTGTTGATTCCCTGTAATGTATTCTTCATTCTCATTATTGTATTCTTACTTCTGACTTTTTGTTTTGTTTTTTAATCTCTATTTTTATGTTTCCTGTCTCTTTGTTGAAGTTCTCCCTGAGATCATTGAGCATCCTTATAACCAGTGCTTGGAACTCTGCATCTGGTAGATTACTTGTCTCCATTTTGTTTAGTTCTTTTTCTGGAGCTTGGTTCTGTTCTTTTCTTTGGGACAGGTTTCTTTGTGTCCCCATTTTGGCTGCCTCCCTGTGTTGTTTCTCAGTATTAGGTGGGGCAGCTATGTGCTCCGGTCTTAGTAGAGTGGCCTTATGTAGTAGGTGTGCTGTGGGGCTCAGTGGCACAGTCTTCCTGGTCACCTGAGCCACACACTCCAGACGTATCCCTTGTGTGCATTGTGTGCGTCCCCCTCTTGTAGTTGAGTCTTGGTTGCTGTTTGCACATCAGTGGAAGCGACTGACCCTCGAACTCATTGTGAGGATTGACTGTGACTATTGTGTGGGGGCTGACCCTACAGAGCAGCATCTGCTCCAGCAGGGCTCTGAGGCCTATCCAATTTGCCTCTTGGTTGTGTCATCCTTGGAGGTGGCTGGGTGATTCTCCAGCTTGTTCTGACATGTACCAGCCCCAGGGCCACCTGGGAGGAGACCTGCTGCAAGTCAAGTTCAGGGGCAACTTGTGGCCCACCTGGGGCCACCTGGCAGGAGCCATTTGCAGGTGGCCGCCACCCGTGCCATGGTTTGAAGTGCCTCAAGAGGGCAAGCTATGAACCCAGGTTGGCTGCCGCTAGTGCCGAGCTTAGGGCTGCTCAGCCAGAGGTACAGGACACCCTCAAGCTAGATGCTGCTTGCCTGGGTTCCATGAACCTTTGAGAGATCCTAGGAAAGTCTGCAGCATGAGCCAAGGCAGGCAGTTTATACAGAAAAGCCACTGGCAGCAGCTTAGGTGTGCCGGAAACTTGGGTGAGGCAGGATCTCAGAATCACCAGGGCCTGGTGAACGAATGGTGTCAGCCAGCTTGATGGAGACGCAGGTATGATGGCTGCCTGCATCTGTACTCATCTGCCCTCCAGGAAGGAGGAGAGCTCAGCAAAGAAACAATGGCCTCTGCCAGCTCCTCCATCTGGGAGGAAGCTGCCCCTCCAGCCCTTTTCCTGAAGCTAGACACCTGAGTTCCCCCACCCCGGCCTGTATGTTTCTGTCGCCTCTCGAGCTGCTGCCCCAGTGCTGGAGCTCAGAGCCAGTGATTCTGTTGGTCAGTCTGTGCGTGGTCCCTTTAAGATGAGTGCCTGGGACTCCAGTTGCTCACTATCTCACTCAGGCAAAACCTCCACTGGTTTTTACAACCAGAAATTATGGGGACTTTTCTCCCTGCTGGGGAGCCCGGTGTGGCACTGGGATGTCTTGCTCCCTTGGGAGGGACCTCTGCAGCTGAGATATCCCTCCCGATCTTTAATGGTCACATGTGGGTGTGGGATCAGCCCTTTCTGTGCCTCTGCCCCTCCTACCAGCCTCGAAGTGGCTTCTTCTGTGTGTCCTTAGTGAAGGGCTTTGGTTCAGGAAGATTTCATGTGATTCTCAGTAAGGGTTGTTTTGTAGTTCAGTTGTAAGTTTGATGCGGTCATGGGAGAAGGGAAGCACAGCGTTTACCTACTCTGCCATCTTGACCGGAACTGTCAAACTCCTCATTTTTCTTTCTTTTAAAAAAAAATAAATATAGAAAAAGAACACGTGGTCCTTTCTTAGGGAGACTCTGCTGTGTGATGTGCATGACTTAGCGGCTCTATGACTTCTGTAAGGAACACTTACCATTTGGATGTGTGCGAAATGCTATCTCACCCCGAATTAGCAAACTCCCCCAGGCTGGCCTGGTTCAACTCTCTAAACACACGAAATATACTTACATTCTGGAAGTCATTAACTTCAACTGCTTCTTCAGACCCACTTCCCATTGTGAAGGTCTCCAAGTTGTTCCCAGCATCTATTTCCATTGAACCATCTTGTAATTTCCCATTGATACTCATGGTATAATGGACATTGTAAATCTGGAAACGAACATAAGAATAGTGACACTTTCCTTTTAGAGCAATTTGGGGATTATCTTAGATCTGCAGTATATGAGGTAGCTTTCATATTTATAGAGATACACTGATTTATCCTTAAGAGTGCTACATTTATATAAAAGGACCTCTTCCATATACCAATCACTTAATATGACAAGTTCGTAAGGAATGCTTTTAAAGTGAAACCTTTGATAGTCTCTGCTACTAATTCAAATAGCTCAGGGATGTGAAATCCTGGCTGGGTATAGAAGCATCTGCGGAGCATCTCCAGCTACCATGTCTGGGATTCCCCCTGGACCGGTCAGATCAGCACCTATGGGGATGGAGTTTAGGCATAGACCTTTCTTTCTTTTTTTTTTTTTTAAAGGACAATTCTACACATCCAGCATTGAAACCTGTTGATGCCTAGATGGAAACCGAGGAGGCAGAGGGTTAACTGGTCTATCAACTAAATAAGTCTGCAGAGGGACCTCAATTTGAAAGTTGTTTTCTAACCTTTTGGCTACAGTTGGGCATGGAGTGTGGTATATAGTGAGAACTGCAGACAGCACTGGGGTTTTCCCAATACGGAGCAGCATTTACAGAGAGGACGGTCAATGTGGACATCTGTTTCCATTCAAAATGGGAGTTACTCATTTTAATGACTCCTCGGGACGGGCATATGGGGTTGTAGGGCATTTTGTTATGAGAGGTGTGGGGGGTGAAGGGAGGGAGATTTGGCGCTGCAGATGGGCGCTGGTCCAGCAATCAGGAGGACAGGTGGCCACACCACTTAGCCCTGTGTCTTGGGAGTTGCCTGGAGTGTATAATGAAGTTGGGTCTCATAGGTGATTTTCCATTTATGTCCTTAAAGCTCCGAGGTTTCACAGAGGGGCCCAGAGGTGGCGGTGGGAGTCGGTGGGGCTGTGAGTCTCCTCTCCCCTGTCCACCTCCAACTGGAGCAGAGCGGCTCTGCTTCTGTTTTATGTGTGGTTATATTTCTGAGTAAAAGCTTCAGAAAAATACTGCTGTTCAAAATTTTCTTTTTTAAAAAGCTTACCATTAAACTAGATGATCCAGGGGACTGTCTTAGTTTAGACACCTTGTTAGTCCACTAGCTTAAAAAATAATTCACACACTGCTCCTGCTCAGTGTGTTGGTGCCCTGCTAGAACTTTCTCTGCGTTGTGGGGTAGTTGGCGGGTGTCTTTTCTTTTCCGTTCTTTTTCTGACTTAGAGACATATATTTATATCTTACAGAGATCTATCTTATATGCTCTATAATATGCAAATTCTTTTTAAAGGGGAAGGCATGAGAACTGATGAAAGACACTTGCTGCTTAGTGTCAGGTCAGTAGGTCAGAACCGCGAAGAGCTCAGATTCAATTCGAGTCTGATTTTCTCCCTCATTATGAAGAACGACTGCTACATGGGCAAAAACTGGAAAAAGTATCTGTTGTTATTGGATCATTAGCTGTAGAAAACTCATTATTACAAGACCCACAGGGCATGATTTTATTTAATCAGCGGAGATGTAGAAATGGCTTTGCTAGCCAGTACCCTTTCAGGCCTCAGCCTTCACGCAGCGGAGCAGAAGGTGTCAGTGAGCTGGTTCAGCGCCACCCTCTCTCAGTGCCCCTCCCTTCCTCCGGCAGTGAACTTCCATTCCTGCAGTGTGCTGTCTCCCACGCAGGCCTGAGCCTGAGAACCGCTTCCAGGGGTTCTGATTTAGTGGAGCTGGAGCAGAGTCCCCCAGTCGACCTGGTTTCGCTTTGCAGCTCAGGTGGTCCGTACGATCAGCCCAGTGTGGGAAGCCTGTTTGATTTGGCTGAGCTGGTGCTTTCCACGGGTAAAGTTTGGAAAGCAGACTCTGTTCTGTCCCTGTGCTCTCAGAGCAGCCACTATTCACATGGGTTAATTGTGACTGTCAAAAGGAGCACGGCAGACAACACTCATGTGAGTTCCTGCTGGCACAAGTGTCCTTCACTCAGGAGGCAAGAGGCTCTGTTTTTTGGTTGTTGAGCACAAGCTTTTACTAGCAGCGCAATGCAAAACTTAGGAAATTAACAGTTTCCACGTTCTTAGCAGGGCTAAAGGAGACAAGATTGTAACACTAGAAGAGTGGCTTGTGGTCCTAATTTCACTTTCCTCCACCATCACCTGTCGCCACCTTCCTCTCAGCAAAAGCTCCCTAACTAGGTATGGGATTGCATCCTTTGTAATGTGGCTTCCGTCCATCTTTTATAAGCAGTGCACTTCCTGCAGGGGGCAGCAGTGAGAGGGCCTGTGCCCTCCCGAAGCCATAGGGGCAGTGGTGGTAAATAGTCTGAAATTATTTCCAAAGTACTGGGCTCCCAGCTCATAAGGAGCCTGGGCTGATGGAGCAGTAATCACATTATCTCCTCTAAACCGCTGGAGCTGTTGGCACCTAAGGCTATTTCTATCCAAGTACAATAAAGTTTATTATTTGCCAAAATTCTGCTCCATGTGGTGCCTTGTACAGCAAAGGATATTTGCTAATGAGTTTCTAATAAAGCCTGGGTTCTATAAGATTAATCACATAATGTTTGGGACAAGGTCTTAAAAAAATCAATCTGAGAATAAAGGCTTCAAGCAATGATCTCATCCCCTATCTCACAGGGCAGGGTTGTCAGTGATCTCATATTGGTGGGCATTTCCCATATTTCAATGCCTTGTTCCATGTACAATAATGTGGCTGAAACATGGCTGCAATATTTGAGCTCAGTCACTTTGCTCCAATTATTAGCACTCCGATGCTTCACAGCCCTCCAGCTGACTTAGAGTAAACTTGTCCTAAGAGGATTTACCCATATGAAAGGGATAGGAGGTGAATTACGCTAGTCCCCCTTATAGAGCAATATAGACAAGCAGAGGCACAGATAATCCCCAAAGAGTGGGTAGTCCATTTGGTTGGGGATGTCTTTCTGTGTGACAGAGATTTACTTTTTTTTTTTATTATGTTTTCTTTCGGCTATTTAGATTTGTATTTAGGGAAAGGAGACCTGTGCATCTGCTGTGCATAGATGGTCCCAAATTTACTCTATTTAGTATTTTATGATTTGTTTTTCACAATTAAGTAATATGGATCCGCATAAAATATTTTGGGAGTAAAAAAAAAAAGAAAAAAGAAGCCTACCACAGTGTTCTTCATTCTCCCGTCTGTATAGGAAATAGCAAAATAACTTTGATTGTCGGCAATAACATGTGATTCACTAACCCTCTGTATTCTTAGAATTTAATACTTCTCTCTTGAACCGGGCAACCAACCGTCTTGCAGGAAAGTAAAAGATATGAAAAAAGGGAGCCCAGCTTATTCAGTATGATCTTTCAATCTCTCTTTTTAGAAGCTTGTCAGTTAGCTGTGTGTGCCTTGAATAATTAAATGCCAAATGGTATTCATTTTAATATATATCATGATCAAAATCTTTATCAAAAAAAAAAAGCCAAGCTATTTTTAACCCCAAGTGACCTATAACATTGAGGGTTTTGTCATCTAGAAGAGAGCATTTACATTTGACAACCATACAATTTCCCAAGGGATGACAATTGAAACCCTGCTATTAATGGAGATGTAGATATTGAAATCATTCCCATGTTCAGATTTGCTGCTTTCAAATAGGAGCATCTGGCCTAGCTTCCATATTTAAAATACAAATACATTAAGGCACTTTTCAAATGTACACAAAATACTGTGCAATTCTGATCTCACAAATCGATGCTTGTAAATTTGATATAGTCTCTAAAACAGACTCAGCGCTAAACAGCATGCTTATCTACATTAGGCACTGAGTTAAAAATACAAATTAGGCAGTGACTGCGGAAGACATGATGTGTAAAATGGTTGAATTGCTTTCAGCACCATTTTCTCTAAGTACTGGAATTCGTTCATGCTTTGCATTTCATGGTGGGAGAGGAGGGGGAAAAACAGCAGTCACAGATCCTCTGAGGGTAGTGATTAAGAAACAGCCTTTTGTATGCCCTGGAGATGGAATCCTTTTCTATTAGTCCAAATAAGCTTATGCCAGGCCTGGCAATGGTCATCAAGATAAAATGGCCCCCTTTCCATGTTGAACAAAATTCAGAGTATTTAGAGAAGACGCTGGAATTCTGCCCAGTCAAGTTAGAAGCACTTTTTTATAGTCCTTGAGAACCCACAGCGCTTTAAAATAAATAGTTGCATACAAAGAAAGTCGGAGAGCAGTTAATGAAACATTTACCATTAAATCACATGTGACTAGGCCAAAATGGATTTTAAAAGAGATTTGCCACCTTTAAGGAAGTTACACCTTTCCCCCCCTTAGAAAAAGAGATAAAAGAGCATTCATGAATAGGTCACATGTAAAAAGCAAGCAAACACAAATTCCTGAAAATTCCTGAAAGGTCAAATTTGTCCCCAACACTGGGGTCTAAATCTTCCTCCACTATTTTTGTCCCAGGCTGTTAAATTCACAGCCTTTTGCAGCCGGGAGAGGCCTTCGAGATCATTGAGTTCCATTTCTTCCCCAAGGATGGGTAAAGGGCTTTCCTCGAACCATCCCTGCATTTTTCCGCTTCTCTACGTTTTAAGACTCTCCCTTAAAACCCTGACTTGCTCTTCTACAAAGTCGCCTATGAGCAGAAAGCACGTGGCAGGGTTGGATGGAAGGAGGCAGATGTTCCGGAAGGCCCCTAGAGGAAAGCGGTTGCTGGGGCTGGAGGGTCTGCCCGCTGCTGAGAGCGGGTCCCGAGCAGACCAGCGCTCTGGCTCCACCTAGCGGGGAGCATGTGCGTGACAGGGAGGACCCCGCCACCCCGTGCACCTCCGGGCCCCACGCCCCTCCCAGCCCAGGGCACCCCGCACCCGGACTTACGTGATTGTCTGTCCCCTTCCAGAAGTAGAAGGCCCCGATTGCCCCGAAGAGCAGCAGTACCGCCCCCGAAATGAGGACCACGGCCCCGACTTTGAGCAGCCGCGCAGGGCTAGAGGGCTTCACGGTCACGGTGGCGTACGCCTGCGGGCGGGCGGGGGCCGGAGAGGGACGGGTCACGTCTGCGCCACTGGTACCCCTGCAGTCCCCCCGGAGTGCCCCCGGGGACTAGGGGTGGGAAACAGCTCGACCTGAGCATCTTCAGGCTCCCCCTTTCGCCGCGCTCCCTCCCACGGGTCCCTGGTACTCAGGCGTGGATGTCAGATAAGCAAACTTTGCGCGGTGCAGGGCCGTCGCCCCGTGGATCTGCACCCCCCCGCCGGCCACAGGACGCCCCCTCCTGACTCCTTTTCCATCTTCCCCTTCATACCCATCAGGGAATCCTGTGCTCTCTGCATATGAACACGCGTGGGGCGTCCACCCCACACACATTTGGGCGCCCCAATTTGCTCCCACCTTCCACATTCGGTGGCACAAATGCCTGACCTGGGACAGGGGATCCGGATCCCCCCTAGAAGCCCGGGTCCTGCGTGTGGACTAACCCCGTAGCTGGACTAAGGATTCCGGGCGGGACTCACCGGGGGACTGCAGAATTCGACGGCGTCAGGCCCCACCAGGGCGATGGGAACTTTGTCAGAGTTCTCCGTCATGATTGCAGCCCAAGGAGCAAGACGCTGGGAGGCTCTGTGCGCACCCTGGATTCTGTCCTGTTGCCCCGACGTGCTGGGCTTTTCAACTCTGCACACGCGCGCACACACCGTGCCGGTCAGCCCAGCGGTCCCCACCCCTTCCAGCGCCTCACTTCTCTCCTCCCTTCCCTCTTCAGCCTGAGCAGCAGTGTGAGCTCGTCCTGCATTCCGGACACACCTCCTTCTCTCTCTCTCTTGTCTACTGACCACCCCCACCCCCCAAAAAGAAAAAAACCACCCTGGTAAATCTGAGTATGTCACGCGTTGGGGTGGGGGGTAGGTAGACCAGGATGCTGGGTCCTGCAAACCCAAGAAGTGCTCTTATAAATTGCCAGGACTCTTTCTACCATCCAGAGATCTCTTACTTAGAATGTCAGAGGGCTCTGCTGTGACACCTGGCTCGAGGCCCACTTCCTGCAGTTGGTTTGCATGTGCATGTTGGGGAGCTCTCTCCAGAACAGGAGAGAGTTTTTTTCACTTTTGGAAATGCTACCTGCCAGTACTAGGATGACATGGGACCTTCTTTAGATCCAAGCTTCACTATTTCGCACTGGGTTCTGGCTTTGTGCAGACTCCTCTGTTGAGGAGTAAGGGGTGAGGTGCATGGGAGGGACTGAAGTTTCCTGAGCACAGGGCCACTGGATGAGCAGGTCTGCAGTAGGAGGAAGTGTTCAGTTACGAGGGGGTGCTGATGAGAGGGAGGACGAGTGACAAGTATGATGACAGGGGAAGGAGGCATCCACAGGGGAGTCTGTAGGACTTGGCAGGCTGGCGATACTGAGGTTTCAGGCTGCGGGGAAGGAAACATTAATTTTCCTCCTACCTTTCTAAGTTCTTCTGGCGGGACTAATAATCAAATTAGCATGAAACAGATTAACGGGAGAAAATAACCAAATTTGTTATGTATGTACATCTGGGGGTCCATAGTAACACGAGACCTCAGGACAGATGGGGCAGTTCAGGCGTATCTGCCATCTTGAGGTAAGAAAAAAGGGTGGGTGGGGGTGGGGGTGTTGTGGTTTGAGGTTCCAAGGGGCAGGAAGGCAGGTCACAGAGATGGAGATGGAGATGGAAAGCAAATGTTTGGTAAATAGATGTTTGCTGGGCCATCTTTAACAACGGGGCACAGAGGAGGCTTTGATCCAATGGACCTTGCTAGGTTCCCCCCTCCCCCCACCCCCCGTCTATCACACTTATTTTACATTAAACTACAGTTACCTGCAATGAGATTGCCCTGCCTGGAGCAGCTCCACTATCTAAATTCTTTTAGGCTGCTAGGGAGAAGAGCAAGGGATTTTCCTGATTTTCTTGCAACTGGCTTAAAATAATCAATATTCCAAAAGGGATATTTTGGGGTGGCAAACTCTGCTCCCCCTCAAGGTCTAGGAGGATTGGGAGAGAGGCAGGAGTCCGAGGAAGTTGGGAGGAGCAGTTTAGAGAGAGCAGATTTGATAAGACTGATTTTAGACGTGTTGAGCTTGAGGTCGAGGATGGAAATAATGGAGGGGGGGGGCAGGAATGTTCTGGGCCTGCCTTGAATTAGGACAACAAGGCACATCCCACTAGATGTAAGGTGCTGGCATCCCCCATGAGGACCGTAGCCAGGGCTGGTCCCCCAGGGCACTGCTGGGGCAGAGTTCAAAGACCTCCTTTCCCCAGGGCACTTGCCACAGGAATATCAGAAGGGATAAGAAGTCACAGTTTGGAGTGAGAGAGCGTCCAAGAGAAAGCTGTGATGTAAGAAAAAAAGGAGAGTTCAGGAAGGCTGGGTCAGCAGAGTGAGATGCTGAGAAAATGGAAGCAAGAGTACAGGGCGGGATTTCACGTTTAGAAGGGCACAGGAACCAAGGAGACGGCAGTGCCACTTGCTTTATTGGGCACAGGTGACATACTGCAAAGGGCTATAGAGTGACTAAAATACTTGTGACTCAGATCACAGTCAAGGAATTAGTTTTCTTATACAGAGAGTTCATAGGAATCATTAAAAAACCAGCAATGGAATACAAAAATGAGCAAAGGATAGGAACAGACAATCCACAGAGGGAGAAATTCAAATGATTCTTTTTTTGTTCCTTGTTATTTTATTATTTTTTTTTAAATGATTTTTTTAATTTTAAGATTTGTATTAAAATATAGCTAACATACAATAGTATATTAGTTTCAGGTGTACACCATAGTTATTCAATGTTTATATACCTAAAGAAGTGATCACCATGATAAGCTCAGCAACCACCTGACACTATACTATGCTATCACAATATTATTGGCTATATTCCCCATACTGTACATTACATCCCCGTGACTTATTTGTTTTATACCTGGAAATTTGGACCTCTTATTCCCCTTCAATTTTCCCCCTTTTTTAAATTTTCAATTACAGTTGACATTCAATATTGTTTTATATTAATTTCAGATACACAACATAGTGATTAGACATTTATATAATTTAAGAAAGGATCCCCCTGACTAGTCTAGTACTCACCTGACACTATACATAGTTATTACCATATTATTGACTATATTCCCTCTGCTTTACTTTACATCCCCATGACTATTTTGTAACTACCAGTTTGTACTTCTTAATCCCTTCACTTTTTAAATCCTGTCCCCCAATCTCCTCCCATCTATCACCTGATAAATCTAGTACCCATCTGACATCATACCTAGTTATTACAATATTATTGACTATATTCCTTATGCTGTACCCGACATCCCCATTATGACTGTGTAATGCCAATTTGTACTTCTTAATCCCCTCCCCTTTTTCATCCTCAGCCCCAACACCCCTGCCATCTGGCAACCATCAATATGTTCTCTGTATCTGTGAGTCTGTTTCTGTTTTGTTTGTTAATTTTGTTCTTTAGAGTCTACATATAAGCAAAATCACATTGCATCTGTCTTTCTCTCTCTGACACGCCACTCAGCCCAGTACCCTCCAGGTCCATCCATGCCACCGCAGATGGCAAGAACCCATTCCCTTCCATGGCTGAGCAATATTCCATTGTATATATGTACCACCTTCTCTTTATCCATTTTTCCATCCACAGGCACACAGGCTGCCTCCACATCTTGGCCATTGTAAACAGTGCTGTAATGATTATATGGATGCACATGTCCCCTCAACGTAGCATTTGGGTTTCTTTGGATAAATACCCAAAAGTGAGATTACTGGGTCCTTCTTTGTGTCTTGTTATAGCCTTTGTTTTAAAGTCTATTTTGTCTGGTATAAGTATTGTTACCCCAGTTTTTATTTGTTTGTTTGTTTCCATTTTCATGAAATATCTTTTTCCATCCCTTTACTTCCCATCTACGTTTGTCTTTCAATCTGAAATGAGTTTCTTGCAGGCAGCATATATAAGTGTTTTGTTTTCTTATCCATTCAGTCCTCCTATGTCTTTTGAGTGAAGCATTTAATCCATTTACAGTGAAAGCAAATGCTGATAAACATGTAGCTATTGCCATTTTATTATTCATAATTTTGATTTTTTTTCCATCTTAAAGAAATCCCTGTAACTTTCCTTGTAGTATTGGTTTGATGGTGATAAACTCCTTTAGCTTTTTCTTGTCTGGGAAGCTCTTCTTTTATCTGTCCTTCAATTCTAAGTGATAACTTTGCTGGGTAGAGTAATGTTGGTTGTAGGTCCTTGCTTTTCATCACATGGAATATTTTGTGCCAATCCCTTCTGGCCTGCAAAGTTTCTGTTGAGAAATCAGCCGAAGCCTTATGGGAGCTCCCTTATAAGTTACTAGTTGGCTTTCTCTTTCTGCTTTTAGGATTCTCTCTTTGCCTTTAACCTTTGCCATTCTAATTATAATGTGTCTTGGTGTGGGCCTGTTTAGGCTCACCTTGTTTGAGACTCTTTGTGCTATCTGGACTTGTACATCTATTTCCTTTGCCAGGTTAGGAAAGTTTTCAGTCATTATTTCTTCAAATAGCTTCTCAATCTCTTGCCTTCTCTCTTCTCCTTCTGGACTCCTATGGTGCGAATATTGTTACTCTTGATGTTGTCCCAGAGGTCTCTTAAACTCTCATCATTTTTTTGGATTCTTTTTTCTTTTTGCTGTTCCAAGTGGGTGTTTTCTGCTACCTTGTCTTCCAAATTGCTGATTCGATTCTCTGCTTCATCTAGTCTTCTGGCGATTGCTTCTAGTGCATTCTTCATTTCAGTTATTGTACTCTTCACTTCTGACTCGTTCATTTTTATGGTTTCTATTTACTTTTTTATGCTTGCTATCTCTCTGTTGAAGTTCTCACTAAGTTCCTTGAGCATCCTTATAATCATTGTTTTGAACTCTGTATCTGGTAGGTTTTTTTTCTTTATTATTATTATTATTTTTTTTTTTATTGGGGAATTGGGGGGATGGGAACAGTGCTGGGGAATTGGGGGACGGGGAACAGACAAGTTGTTGTCCTTTTGTTCTTCAGTCTAGTTGTGGAGGACGTCGCTTCACTGGCCCAAGTTGGCACCATCATTGCGCTCTTCCCGGGTGAGGTAGATCAGTCGCCGGCTTCTGGACGGCCGCTCACTGCGGCTGCTGGCCGCTCACGCTGGCTGCTGGCCACACACAGTAGCCCATGGCAATCCACTGCCACAGGGGCTGCAGCCTACGCCGTCGCCGGCAACTCACGTCAGCCCAGCTCCAGGTTGAGCTGTTGTTCAGCATCTTAGCTGTAGAGGGCAGTGTCACTGGCCCTCATATGTGGGATCCGAACCGGGGCCCTCTGGCATCCCAAGCCAGTTCTTAACCATCGCGCCACTCGGCTGGCCCAGTATCTGGTAGGTTCTTTGCCACCATTTCATTTAGTTGTTTTTCTGGAGTTTTCTCCTGTTATTTCATTTGAGACACATTTTTTTTGTTTCCTCATTTTGGCTGCCTCTCTGTGTTTGTTTCTATGTATTAGGTAGATCTTTTATGTCTCCCAGTCTTGGCTGAGTGGCCTTATGCAGTATGTGCCCTATGGGGCTCTGGCACAGTCTTCCTAGTCACCTGCTCCGGGTGCTTCAGGAGTGTCCCTTGTGTGAATTGTGTGATCCCTCCTGTTATATTTGAGCTTGATTGCCATTGGCACATCAGTGGGTGGCATTGGCCCTCAGGCTAATTGGATG